CGTTGTAGCATTCTCTATTGAGAATTGGATAAAAAGTTATACACTGAATGTGATGAACAACTTACAAAATTAATCGATGACTTATAATTATCACATTCACTTAGATATAAGTCTCATGTTTCAATGAAAGTTACACACAAAACTAATATCAGGATCAAAACCTAAAATTTATTTTATAAGTTAGTTTATATCTAATTTATCAGGAAAAGAAATGTATTTAGTGAATAAGTATAATGCATGTGTATGTGTGATTAGTTATGCAGATTAATATGGAGCTATGATTGAGTAATAATTTCGTGAATAAACTGAGTAAACATTTGCAAGTCTTCGAATAAATAAACATTGAAACATAAAAAGCAAATGGCCAGCAAAATCTTATAGCTTTTCAATGAAATTAATATTTATTAGGATAGAGGGATTTGTGGAGATTGTAAAATTGTCATAGTTTGAATGATGAACTGATATTAATAAGACCACCATTATAAAGCTGAGAGCACTGGATGGCCGTCGGATACCAGCTTAGTGGTCTAGAAGCAAAGTACTCACACTCGAAACTAAGGTCCTGAGTTTGATTGCTAGATACGGAGTGGTGGGTGCGCATTGCTGAGGAGTCTCACACTGGGAAAAATAGGCATCCAGTGCTTTCAGCTTTTCAATATTAGTCTAAATAAGATCATTTCACAATTTAAACTATAATGATAAAAGTGATATGTTTCATTAAATAAGTGAGAACAAAAGTCATTTGAAAACATTTTTCGAGAATCATCGGTTTCACTAACCAACTATTAATCAATGAAGATAAAACTTGACTATCCATCGTATTATTTTCTTTATGAACCTTTCTAGAGCTTTCATAGAATATCATCATATTTTCTTTTGAGATTTCTAAATTTGGATGTATACCCTTGCAATTTTCTCAGTTGCAATATCTATAGACAATGAAAACAATGATATAGTGAAATTCGAACTGTTCTTCATTTGTCGTATGAAATTCAAAGAAATAAAGAGTTTTGACTGTACTTTACTTTTTCCAATTTTTGATACTGAATATAATGAATATCTAGAAGTTTTGTAGTGTGGTTATTCAGTATGGTTTTTATGACGCTCTATCCATCAAATTGATATTATTCATCCAATAACGCACGTTATAAATTTCTCAACACTGAATCTTATTTAATCAAAACCGAACAAAAACACTTAGATCATTATGATTTCATCACTTTACCATAAAATACTAATATAATAATATAGAAAGTAATTGACTACTACCAACCCATAATGCTTTTCCACGAAGATAGATAGAGCTGTATGATACTAAGTTAAACTAGTTGTAAGTATTTAAAACTTTAATCTTAGGTTATAACACTGGTTAGCGTTTTTTAGAGAGTTGGTTTTTTACGGGATGATGTCGCTAACCCCATGCCCAACCCTCCACCTTTATCCGGACTTAGGACCGGCAGTAGCCCCGGAGGGGCTCCGGCAGAGTTGAATCCTCAAGGCAAAAAAAAGAGGAAGACCAAAGGACACACTACGTCGAGAAATGGAGACAGACATGAGGAAAATCAATAAAAACTGGATAGAACTGGAAAGGAAGGTCCAGGACTGAGTGGGTTAGAGAATGCTGGTCGGCGGCCTATGCTCCATCGGGATTAACAGGAGTAACTAAGTAAGTAAGTATAACACTGACGAACTACTCAAAACCATAAAACTTATCAGATCATGTTCAATAATAGTTATCAAAACAAAATATCAGAATATAAAGAATAAACATCGAATTGTCTAGTTGTCCATGAGTTTCACATCAACGTATTCCAAAAACAGTTCATATATATATATATATATATATATATATATATATATATATATATATATTTACATCAACAGAACAGTGTTTATATGTATCACTGGCCATTGATTTATCTAAAACAGAAAAGAGTCAATCAATTCAGTCATATAATGGAAACAACTATCTTCAATATTTTTTCGAATGTTACTAGTTAATATACATTTTCGACAATAATACCACATTGAAATCGTCATCCCATTAGTCTTTTTTATTCTACAGCTTTCACATTTTTTCGCATATCAACTAGGAAAACAAAAAATTGATCATTTACATTCTATTTCGTTAAATTCTAAATCATTAGATATATCCGTCTAAATGATGTATAATCGTATTTTACATAAACCTCATATATCTATGACCTGTTCTCCTAAAAGTACATATATAGAAACATTTGTTGATTGAGTATATTATCGTTATCATACTCTTTGTAAAGTTAATATTATGAAGAAGTGATGTTTATCACTGTCATAAGATTTTTACATAGATGGATGTATTGTACTATGATATGAAAGTTAATCAAAACAACTTGACAATGTATTTTATTTTAATTATTGACATATTACAGATATTACTATTTCTATGTGTAAACAATCTTACATAGGTATATAAACAAGTATCCTGATCACCTGTTTCTTTTTCTTTTTAAGAAAAGATGAACACTGATTTATTGATTGAACGCCAGAATGTCTAGTCTTACACTTCAGTATAAAATTGACTAGTTAATCAGTGCTGATTAATTTACTACCAATAATAAAATGGATAGACAAATGAAATACTGTACAAAATATTTGTAAATTAACCAATAAGAAATAAGAAACAATTATGTGTGTAGTGACAAGGTAAACCCCTAGTTATAGAAAATAATGTTGATCATAAGATGAATAGAAAAGATGAAAATAGAAAGAAAAACAAACAAAAAAAACTTTGAAGGGGAAATTTTCAGCACTGTCTATATTATTATTTGTAAATTTATCAGATACTATGCATATATGAATATCTTAGTGATTTCTTTCTGTGTAATGAAACACTTATGTTAGCTTTGCATTATCATTAATATTTTTTTTCTACTAATCTCGAAACTACTACTACCATTCCTTCAGTATTCGTCTTGATAATTTTATTTATAAGCATAAGGTTACGGAGATTGTTGAGTTTCATTGAAATCATGATTAGATCAATATTAGACCACCATTGAAAACCTGGAAACACTAGATGATCAATTCCTTTCAGAACGATTGATGCAATTCAATGACTTGTATTGATCCAAATATTGTTTAAGGTTCTATATTCCGCATCACTGATTGACTGAATGAAATAATTTTGTGTCTAGTAGGTCGATATGTGTTATGCGATTTCAGTAATGTAATTAGACAGGTAATTTGAACAAATTTTCAAATTAGATAGAGTCAAGTGTATTTATAAAACACTATTATTTCATTATCTAGTCATTTCTATACATGGGCATGTATGGAAAACTACTTTCTAAGTAATTGATATCACACTTTCGATCATTACTTAGATAAATTAGAAGAAGCGTATATTCATATATTAAAGTAAAAGTCTATATAATCTGAACATTTCTACTCATTTAAGAAATCGAATTTCAGATTCCTTACATTCAGTGACGAAATTCTACTTGGCTTGAATTAGTGGTTTTAACTCGAGTAGTTATAGGTTATAGTTTCAATAATCATTTAATGTGATTTGAACAATTTGCTATTTTGGGTTATTAAAGAGAACTTGATTGATTATTCGTTATGACTTTATGTTGGATCATCAGGTTAATAGAATTTATACGGACTACAAATAAACTACAATAAATAAGTGTTATTTCATAAGTATAAGTTGATGGGATTAGTTGGTTGAATAATCAACTATTTAGCTTTAACACATAAGTTGTTATTGGTAATTTAAGACAATCTAGTTATCTTGAATTATGATATAACATATATAGGAATTGAAAACGAAGAATTTCTATTTTATATCATTTTCAAAGAATGTCACTTAACATGACGGAAAATTTTTAAAGTCATATAAATGCTTTGTGTACACAGTCATACATGTGCAGAATCAATCATTTTCTGATGATGAAGCCTTTCAGTTTGACCATTTCATTGTGGTGGTCTAAAATAATCACTGGGTTGTAACGAAGACACAATACCACCAAAATAAAGTTATGATGGATGGAAAATAAAAGTTCTGGTAAAGGGGAAAACAATCCTTAAATAATGGTTTATTTTCTAGACGGTAGTCACCTAACAATTTTCTCGATGATTAAAGCTCGTGAATAACCTAGTAACTCACCTTAGCATTGAATTTTAATGAACAGAGTATGTTTAACAGATTTGAAGTATTGTCAGGCCATTGAAAATAGTAGGTAGTTACGCTTGCATGTCTTTATAGAAGTCTATTCTCGTCTTCAAATGATCCACTGTTATTCATGGGATTAGACCAAACGCAAAATTTATTTTTATTCTGATTGGACAAAAATAGGAGACCACTTATCTTCATTTACTCGGAAACTGATTTCCCTAATAATATAGGTGCGAAACTTATATCTCAATAATTCAGAAGTCCTTTTAATATAAACTAGCAACGTCTCAGTAACCGTTGTAAGCCGGTTTAGTAATTCTCACTATTTACAAACGAATCATTATTTTAAGTACATTGCTAAAAGGGTGCTCTGATTTTCCTACATGAGGACATTCTTGTCGTGCATCATGATATATTCTTTGATCTTTTTCAAATGTCATTGCGTTCAACTCACCTAGTATTAAACCAAAAGTGTTTATGTAACTTGTCAACAAATTTTCAGCATTTAATCATTTAGATACTACACTGATAAGTCATTTCCATAAATTTCTGTATGTCTGAGTATACAGTATGAGCTTTATTCCCGTGTCCTATATTGTTTGCAGCTGTAATAAATAATTGCGTTTGACTTAAACGAGATTAAGTGGCTCTCTCGTGAAGTGCAACCAGTTTTTTTCTCAGTCCATAGTAAAGAAAGTTTAGGGAATTTTTTTCAATATTTCACGCCAGTCTATTATCAATTTAATAAATTTATTTCTCCCATTTACTTTTCAGTTTCGTAAAAAAGATTCACAAGGTAACACACCATATTTCACAATCACGCCTTGAATTTCAATACAAAATGACTACAAATCAAGATATTCCCAAAACATCGTCACTATTTTCTGATAAATCTATGAGCCTAAAAGAAAGTCAAAGATATATTTTATCGACGCTAAATGATCTTACACCTATACGATCATTTGATGGTAGTTTTTCTGTTAATTATAATAATAAGAATCAAATAGGATATTTTACACCTTGGTCACCTATTGAAGCTACGTTCTGTGAATGTACATCTCAAGGCAATTCCATTTATACTACCGAATCAAATATACATGAAGATGTAGTCAGGAAAATGAGTGTACCTAACAATGTTACAGTTAACAAAACTGATAATCCTCTTGATTATTCCATACATTCCCATTTTATTGATCATCAGTGTTTAACATCTACCAGTTCAAAAGTAACTGCTCCTCAGCGATCAAATTATAATCGCAATTCATTACTCGAATTTTCGAACAGCTTCAAATTTAATAATAACAATACATCTTCCTTAAGGAAATCAGAATGTACTTCCGAGCCAGTTGTATGTTATTCTACAAATAATGAAACTGATGGTGGACGTTTATCAAAACGAAAATATTCTAAAAATCATTCTAGTGTTTCTAGGAAATACACTGGAAAATATATTAAAACAGGAATTAACAAGATTACCGGCCTTAATCAACCTAATGTAATCAGTATTCCTATCAGTAATAATAATACAGATATCAGTGACAGGTTTGAGATTATTCACGCTAATACTATGAATCATTCATTAACACATAATTTACCAAAGGAGACATGTTCATTAAATCAAAATACTGTAAATGAAGATGGAAATTTAATAAATGGTAAAAAATCGAAATTAGATAAAAATTGTTCCACACTTGAAAAAAATAGCATCAACAAACAAACAATAGATATGACTTTTTATTCTACTCCCAAAGATACCCAATGGAACAATGACGAAGGTGAACAACGTAAAACTAACAGTGATGCACAAAACAATGTGAAAAATACTGTTGTTTCAACAGGAGCTTACAAATACTTATCATGGCGTGAAAAAGATCGTAGACGAAGGTTTCGTGAAGAATGGAAACATTTATGGCTTGTTATACCACATGGACTTCATGAAGTAAGTTAAAAATGATAATCCAATTTCCTTACTTGATAACTAGTTTTCTATATTAATAAAAGTAAGAATTCTTGATAACTAATTACATAACAACTAAAACTGTCTCTTTGTCTCGTAAGTACAATTGTTTATAGAGTGGTTATTTTTAATGATACTGACAAATGACTATCGAATAAACATTTACTAACCAAGTTTGTCCCCATCGATCCTTAATTTACTCGATACATGTCAAATATAATATTATCATAAAGTTAGGTATGCGAATTTGAGAATTACAATGGGAAATCTGATCAAAAAGTAATAGTAATAACAACAAATAGTCACTCACATATTATTGCAAAAGGATCAGTTTAATGGAGTTAAAATATAGAAAAAACTTGGTCTTACATTCCGGATAGGAATAATTGACAAGGAACCGTTTTGTTTACAGATGCAAACCCGAACCCTTAATAAACATCACAGCTATACGACTGAGTTTTATTTAAAGGTAACTAAACTCTACAGCCTATCAGTCTGTCTTTATTATCCTTGAAAGTTTGTCGGTTATATCATACAGAGTGTCAGGTAACAGTGAACTTAGAAAATTAATTGATTATTGAATAAATGAATTGAACTTTTAGTTAGAGGTCCTAGGAACGGACTCACCACTAATTAATTTGTAGTAAATTCTGATAGCGCTTCGAAGTCCTATAGCTTTTAACCACCTACTCAAGTGCCATGATGAGGATTAAGTTGGCAAATGTTTACTTGACTGTGTAGTGTTAGTCATGTAACATCCATGATGCAACGCTTATAAATTAGACATAGGTTCTCTTTAATTGTCCTATGATGGTTTCTCAGTTAGATGCCGAAAGACGGACAGATTTTATCAGATTTCAAGTCCAAAGTCCAAATAGTTTGAATCAGTTTAACCCGATGTGAAATTAACATGGATACTCTAGGCAACTGATTACTCATGGTAAGAGCTCCCAGAAAATTCAGATTACTATTATCACTATTGATTTGCTAGTATATTTATAACACAAATGGCTTAATCATACTTATCATAAACCAGTATTTCGTAAAGAAGAGACGGTTTACAACTTACCAATACTACGAAACGTCTTCATGTCTGGTCTTTAAGAGTTCCACCAAATCGTGTTTTCGATGCAATGGAAGTTTTCACAGTTGTTACAACTTCGACGCCACGTTCAGATACACACTACTTACAAACATCCTTATTAGTAGCGTCCACCATAGTACAATCATTATTATTAACTTTGATTTAGTATGAACCCTTAACTTTTCATCAAATTGAGTTGAATAGATGATAGATAGTTAAATGTTCAGATTTTCTCATCAAAAACTCACTAAGGAAGATTAGTTCTTTGATACAAACAAAAAGGTACCAAACACCATGATGGTGAAACAGTGAATAATTGGTTAGACTACTAGGTTTTCACCTAACAGGTGTCAGAGTCAAACCCTGCACTGCCTAATTTAGTTTTGGCAGTCAGGTAGAATCATTGGTCTTCACAAAAATTGTGACTTAAAACCAAATACACAAATATGTACTTTCTAAAGCGACTTCCCTTAAGCTTTTGATGTAGTTTAATAACGAATCCATGAGGAAAACGTCCCCCTTATCCAAAAACTTACTTAAAAGCTGTTTCCGTTGCCTTATAAAAAATGTAAGCAAACAAACTGATATGATAAATTATTTCTACTACCAGTGGTAATAATAATAATAATAATAGAACCAGTATAATTAGAAATGTTGTTAATCAGCCTTTAACGTCAATACTACTTTTATTACTATTGCTTTCTGAACTTGCAATAGGAGTGTGTACTTCTTTGCATTTAAAAGACATTTAGGTACACATACGAACATTCATTTATTACGGTTGATGGATAGCTATGATTATGATTGGTATTATTATTATTATTAGTAGTAGTAGTAGTAGTAGTGGTATCTTTGAACTATCTATGATGATTTCTAGTAAATATTAGCACGCATTCTTATGTTTGCGCTTTATCTACTGTAAAAAGTAGAAAATTCAATCTTAGGCGGTCATTATTCTTATTTTCTATGATTTCCAATCATTCTTAGATGAAAAAATACCAATAATCCAAGTTTCTTCTCGAATATGTAGTACTGCATATACATAGTCCAAACAAAAGTCTCATAAATCGTACTGTTTTAGAAAAGTAATAAAAATTTTACAATTAATAGAGAAAAGTATGAAAAATAATAAACATTAGCGAAAAAATATAAAGGAGAAAACCTAAACCGTTTTTTTAGCAAACAGAAGACAAGAAAATGCATTCGGGTAAAAATGTCGGGCTAAATTAAAGGGAGAGGCCAAGGATGAATATGCAAAATCACACGGGCTGATAGAGAGAGAGATAGATAGATAGGAAAAACGGGAGTCTTATATTTTTTTATGCCTTCGCCTGATTTCCCCCGTTTTATGAATCTTACTTATTGACATTAATTGGTCACTTAAAAAGTGGTGATTTATAATTTTATACACAAATACATAATATCTATAATATAGTGTTCGTTTAATGTATATACTAGTGATTCTAAAGAAAAATCTGTTAATCTTAGTGTCAGTGATGAAGATGACCATTACGAGAAGGATTCTAGAAGACTACAGTATAACCTTTAATTCAAAGATATAATTGACTTTATTAGAAATAATGGATTTGAATTAAGGTGTAGGTTACGATCGGTATTCTCTTGTTAAATGGAGCAGACTTTTTTCTTTGGAAATTAGATTTCTCTCATTAGAAAAGTATACTGGGTTAATATCACTAGCTAGGCGAAAATAATCAACAACTGTCACGTCACTTGTAACTGTCTAAATCAAAGTAGCCCGAGTTTTGTTTGAGACAAACAACTTGTTTGTTCAAAGACTTTAGCTATTAGTTATAAGTCTTCTTTTGAATTCAGTTAATGAGTCCATTCATCCTTTTCACATTAAAAGGAAGGGTGACTTAATCGTTGAACAATTAGCCTACAACTAATAGTTATCAGGTTCAAACCTTCTATGTGCGTACTTCAACTTGCATAACCGGATATTATCACCAACTCTCGTGTACTTAGTACAGCTCAATGCTGAAGATGTCAACATATGAACGACATACATTAAACAAGTAATTTAACAATATAAACAATTGCAAACCATCTCAGTAATTAAATTAATTATATGTTATGTTTCGTAAACTATTGGTCAATAATATAATTGTGAGATAGTAACTCACTGAAGACAATAGTAGATGTTTCGCTGAATTTCCTGGATTGATTGAAGTTAGACATTAACACTGTTGGATGCCAGCCGGCTCAGTGGTGCGAGACCGATAGGTCCTGTGTTCGAAACAGTCGTTCAGTGCTTCCAAGTTTTCTATGGTGGTCTAACTTCATTTGATCCATGAATTCAACTACTAAATTACTATAATATCCACAAAACCCATCTCTGAATATAATTATTTATCTCTCTATTAGATAATATATATCTTTACTACTTTCAAGCATCATATGATTTTATAAAACATTAGTTTAGTACATGGTAACAACTCAGGATGATTATTATGCATTTGTTCATACAGATGACTTTCTTTTTTGTTCACCGATTTTCCATTTATTCCAAGACAGTTTTATTGAAAAAAAATCATTTGAGACGTAATTAATAATAAGGAATTCTTGGCATACATAATCAGTTAATTAGTAATTAAAAGTTTTCAAATTTTGATATATATTCAAATATAATTTAATTTCAATAGCTGAGGTCATGAGTCCTATTGTGGGACTACTCATCAGTACGCATTCACGATCCCGTCTCATGAGATTCGAACCCAGGACCTATCAATCTCTCGCGCGAACCCTTAACCTCTAGACCCCTGAGCCGGTCAGCATCCAACGGTGTTCATGTCTAATTTCAACTAATCCACAATGTTGCGTGATCATTTTCACTGTCTTTGGTGTGTAACTGTCTCACACCCGACACTGTTGAAATCAACTGGTCATAGCTTCTCATTAGAACTCTCAAAGCTAGTCACTGGTGAGCAAATGATAATTATCAATGTAAGGTTGTGGAGATTTTTAAGTTTTAATTGAGATCATAAACTGATCAATGTTAGACCATCATCAAAAACTTGGAAGCACTGAACATTCGTAGGTACGTAATTCTGAGGAATCTCACAATGGGACGAAATGGACATCCAACGCCATCAGGTTTGTTTTTCTTTTGTAAATGATGATCTAACTTCAACTGACTCATGATCTCAAATATTAAAATTACTATAATATCTATTAAAAATCCCAATCAATTAATTAAATTATATTGTTACCTTTATTAAAATTATTAGGTTATGTGCCTTATTTGTCATAAAGTTATGACTCAAAGAAAATTAGATACAATAAAACGTCATGTTGTTAGAAGACATCCAGAATTAATAAAAATGTATGATTATGATAAAAGAGAATTATTTAATCAATTAATTAAACAATATAATTTAATAGATCATACAAATATTAATTCAATAATCAATAATCCATATAAATTAATACAAAAATCAAATGATTCATATCAATGTAAATCGAATAGAAATTTACATAAAACAAAAGAATCATCACAGAAACTTTTATTAAATACATCTAATTGGTTAATTAATCAAACAAATAATAGAAATCTTTTCAAAAATATAAATCAATTAAATCATATTCCATTATGTTATACATCAAATTCTTCATCTGTATTCTATAAAAGTAATAAAGATTCATTGAATGAACATCATGAAGTAGTCAATGCAAATGTTAAATTTAAACAATATTTATCTTCTGATGAAAGTAAATATATACCGAAAATCTATCAAGAAGTTATAAACACTTATGATTTAAATCATTTATCATCAACATTACCAGAAGATTGGTCTAATCTTTTAAAAATTACTGAAAGTCTACTACCTATTGTTAAATCATCAACATCATCATCTAATGGATCAATGGATCCTCTTGATTATTCTATACATTCAAATCAACATAATCCTATAGAAATTAGTATGCAATTATTATCTTCTAATAATCAACCAGTAAATACATCAATTATTTCAAAAGAATCATTATTATCTTCAAATATTCAAACGATGAATTGTTCTTCATTTCGTCCTTTCTCTTCTTCTATATCATCTAATTTAAATATAAATTATAGAAAATCATTTACTCCATTAACATATAAATCAATAGAGTCAATGAATTCATTACCATTATCATCGATTGTACAAAAAGAATGCTTTTCTAATATTCAAAATTCAAACAAATCTTATGGATTTATGGAATCAATCTCTAATTCATACGACGACATCATTAAAACCAGTAATGAAAGTTTAGCTGCAGTTAACTGTAATGTAAACTTTTCTAGTAGAAATATTCACGTTCAAAATGACAATGACTATGATAGTAGTCAAACAGCTAAAGGATATTTAAATTCACAGTTCAATTTAACAACGGAATATATGGAGCATGATCATATTGTTAATGAACTAAATCAACGTTTAAGAGTATCTGTAAATACAACAACAAGTCATGCAAACCATACGTCAACTGGATTTGATCCCACGTTTTCAAAAGTAAATTTAATCTCATGAGACCTATGCTTATTAAAATTATATTTATTCTTTTTTTTTTTTGATAATAAAACTCAAAGTGTATGTTCAAATACTAGTACAGATCATAGTCGAATTATATAGAATAGATGAAATGTGACTATCAGTAGAATCTATAGCTCATGTTTTATCCTGTTTGGGACTCAACAACTGGATGTACCTGCATCACAGAGTTCATGTTCCCTCTGGGACTAGAGCTCAGCACCGTTTGCTTCAAATGACATAGTGTTATCCATTTAACCACTGGGTTGACATAGCCACTCACTTGCTCAATGAGTATGAGATTTAATTGAAAATGAAATGGAATGTGGCTAGCTGTGGACAGCTCCTGACTTTTCCATTCCATTTATTCTACATAAACTTGTGTCATAATAGTTATATTGAGGTAATCTGCACAGCACACATATATGCCAAAAAGAGACTGATGAAATTTCAATCGAAAATTTTAACAATAGGATAATCCAGACCATTTCAAAGTTAAATAATAATTTGCATTCCAAAGATTCAGTTTATTTTTTTCACATATGTTGAGTTGAAGAGTTATTTATCACCTGTACATGTCAAGTAATTCTCAAGTTTTCATATTCGTTAATATCATTTAGGTCTTAATGACTGGAGAGATGTCACTGTTATTCTTACAAAAGTGTTTGTTACATATGTAATAACCAGTATGTTAGCTGGCTTTTATACTATATTACCCGCGAAAATAACCACTATCTGTTTTTATAAAATGTTGTCACCTAACACAAACAATTGTTTGTCTATTTGGTGTATTAACAGAAATGTCAAGTAATCGGATAAATACATATATACATGTGTTTCTCACCAGAAGTGAGAATTTCATTAAGAACTGTTTGATTGAAGTATATGAATGTATTGTAGTTAATAGATGTGTATACCCTTATTTTAAAAGAAATAGAAAATAACCACTATTATTATTAATTCGTTTTTGTATTGGTTGTTTGAGTCTTCTCATTCATGTTTCGAACTGCAATTGATCAGTTTCATTTCGGTATATAGACTGGGTTCGAGTCCCAGAGTGAACATTAACTCTGGGATGAAGGTACATCCAGGTGACAAGTTCGAAATAGACCGAAACTTACATCCTGGATTTCACCGCTAGCCACCATCCATTTCTGCTTACTATTATCACTTTTTAAAGTTAAGCAATTTTATTTGAAACAATTCGTTAATAACCTCTACCATTTTTCAACATCTAAAATATACTGTACTTAGTATGTATGAAAAATTCTGAAGTTACTTTCCAAAATTAGGCGGCATTAAGTTGATTATTATCTGGTAAAATGTAGTGATTTACTACATGTGGACAGTTTGTAGTTATTTATTTATATGTATATTGCTAAATACAAATGAAGCATATAAAGGTTTAAGTGAATCAGTAATATGAATTAATATGGGCAAGGTATTAAGTAATTGTCTAATAATCAGAGGAGGTTTTGTGGATATAATAGTAATTTAGTAGTTGAATTCATGATTCATTTAAAGCTAGACCAACATGGAAAACCTGGAAACACTAGACGGTTGTTTCGTCATCGTATGAGACTCCTCAGCAGTGCGCATCCACGATCCCGTCTCGAGGGATTCGAAACCAGGACATGTCGGCCTCATTCACGAACGCTTAACCTCTACATCACTGAGTCCTCCAGTATCCAACGGTGTAAATGTCTAACTTTAACTAATCGACATAATTGAGTGAAACATCCACCACTGTCTTCAGTGAGTTACTATCTCACAACAGATCCGGTGGAAATCCATTTGTCTAATAACATTATTATTAAAAGTGAAATCATTTTAAAACAAATAAATTATCTAGTTAGACCAAGTATTGAATCATACATGTACATTGGTGCAACAAACTTTTTCATAACTGTTTGATGGTTTTATTCATTATCTAAAGAAAATGGTATAAGTTTATTCGATTTCAAAATATTTAACAATAGGAAACAGCTGTTTTATGGATTACACTAAAATCTAAAATTCTCATTGATTCAATCATATGTTGAATTATTGATGTATAACATTGCTTTTATTGTTTTATCTTCTCAACAGGTTCCTAGACTTGACGAGGCTCAATCTTTAATGATAGCCGCTTGGTATTCAGCTCTTATGAATTCTGCTAAAAATGCAAACCAATTAGTTAGCAATAACGTATCTTTAAGTCTACATAAACCAATATGTGATGAATCTGTAGGTATGGAGAAGCCCCTCACATGTTCTTTCCCTTTCTCAAATCCAAAACTCTTCAATACCAGCTCATATGTTTCCAATACCTCTGATGAAATTATTTCCTCTCGTTTAAAACAAAAGGAGAAACTTAGTAATTACCCAAGTATAGTAGATTCATTACAATTGCATAATCAGGAGGTGGAATTACAATCATCGAAACAAATGAATCCATCTCGTCAGTTAAAATTAAATTCAGAGTTAAATAAATTTACTATCTCATCTCTATTGAATACAGAACAACGTCAAATAACAACTCCAGTATCAAAAGTAGAACAGAAAAGTGATAATTCCTGTCTTAATATACTTAGTAACTTAGAAACACCTTCATGTGATAGCTCTACCGATTCATCATCTCAACTTGGCAATCCGCAAAAATATGATAAATTTAAATCTATTCCCGAGTGTATCTCATGCATTCTTTGTATGATTCATGACATGAATGTAGGAAATTCCTCTAGCATTACAAATCTTAATAAGTCATGCAGATTAAATGTCGACATTCCAAGTAACATATATGCAAAAGAAGCTGATTTATACAAAAGAAAACACACAGCATTCACCTGTCCTAAAAATTTGTCAAGTTCATTTCATAACTCTGTAGAAATTCAATCGAAAATTAATACATCTAACCAGTTTAACAATGGTAACTGTACTTCACAAAATCAAATACCATTCATACATTTACTGGATTCAAATAATCAACCCACTCACGAAGTACAAACCTATATGAAATGTTATTATGATCAATTAGTACGAAATCATTTCGAACATATTCAGAAAGAAAATCAATCCAGTGAAAAAGTAACATCATCGTATTGTTGTATACCAATAAATACAGAAAACGCTATCTGTTTAAATGGTAATGAAGATATCTAGTTGAATGAATCAACCTAATGTTTGATGGTATAAAGAAATATCTACAGCTAACTACATGAAAACTTCTACGCAACAACAAACAGGTAAGTTAACAACATACTACAGTAAACAAGTATGTATAATACTAATATTCTTTCCAATAGTCACACCAATTCATATGAATTAATTTATACAGTCCGAATTACCAAAATTCATTCAATAACTATATCTCAGTATGGGAGATTAAGTTTTTGATTCAGATCGTGAACCGATTGATGTTAGACCACCACTGAAAACCTGGAAGCATTGGATGGCTGTTTCGTCCTATTGCGGGACTGCTCAGCAGTGCGCATCCACGATTCCGCCCGCGGGATTCGGACTCAGGGTCTTTGGTCTTGCGCGCGAACGCTTAACCTCTAGACCACTCAGTGCAAGCTATTATATGATTAATGATAACGTAGAATTCTAAAGAGAAGGATCTAAATACTGGATGAACGAAATGTTCATATTGATGTACATTTTATCAACAGATATCCTTTGCTAAATATTAGCATTACAATGAACATTAATCGCATCTTCCACTAAAGACTCCTGAAATAATATCTAAAACTGGTCTTAGAAAATTTGTATTAGATTTTTTCCACTCTATCCACTACTATGTTTACTAAAAGATCAAGAGATAAAGAACCATGAATAGTTAGAATTTCGAAGAAGAAAAAAGCCTTTCTAATCTCCTTAAATTTTATTTGGTGACTTCAGTAGTAACAGATGTCGATTTGAAATCCGTTTAGATCTGAAACCATTCCCATTACCTTCACTGTGAGGTGATATCGGATATATATATATTATTTTATTTAAAGGAATTGAATTTTTCATAATTAGACATAATACTTTTCGTTCTTGTAAAAAAAATGTTTATCCAAAGTAGACAATGTATATTGTGTGTATTTACTTACAATAAATGGATAAAATAACACTCGACCTACATTTTCTTCAAACTTAAAAATGGAAACTTCATCAATTCTGAGTTCAGAATTATTAATTATTTTAAAACAAGGCACTGATTTATAGTATCTTTTTTAAATTGTGGATTATAGTGGAACCTAGGATATTCGTTTTATGCTGCTTTTGTGGTCGGTATTCGATATAATCCTTAAACTTCGTAAACAGTTCGTCCTGATAACCGTTATTAGATAATGTCCCCAACGGTGTATAAATCAGAAGACGAGTACGAATTGTTGATCGCATTTATTATTCCACAACACACAGATCACCAAAACCACAGACTCGTGAAACAATAATGAAAAGGTAATGCCGAAAAGCAAGCGAGCAAGTTCAATTAATGTGATTAAAATTTACATGTATATACATAGGGAAATAAATGAATCATCTAATCAATTAAGCGACCAACATTAAAGCTAGCAGAATAAATATGTGCGTAAGCAGTAAGCAATGCTCAAGTATACATATTCACATAAGCGCAACAATAATAAAGGTACAATAGTATAGATAAGTAGTTATTGTACGAATGACTCTGTCCGTTAAATAATTTAAAAAAGGGCTTAACCAAATTAAGTATGAACAAACTCAATTGCAAGTGAGCTGCTATGATACCATCATACCGCAGTTGATATCCACACGAAGTAACTATTGCTGTAAACAATAAGTTATCCACAAAGCTCCTGAAACAAAACAATTATAAAGGGCATTTACGTTGGTAATACAATTAAAAGCTTTCTAGCTCAGTTTTTTGGTTGGCCTAATGATGCTTTAATGAAAAACCAAAGTTTGTGAATCATCTTTTTATGATAAGAATAAAAATGTAACTTTCAAGGTGATAGAAACTATAGCTAAGTAAGGAATAAAGATATATTATCTTGGATGTGGTGTCTTTGTTGAATAATATTATTAAGATTGCTACCCTAATTGCACATAACCCATAATTAGTAACTAATATTTTACTATTTCTAAGATAGCTTAAGAAATAGAATATAAAATGACAACTTTAAAGTATTACGGACAGGTGAATAGTTCACTATTAATAGTATTATAGACTTATCAAAATTAACTTTAATTTCGATTCTACAAATTCATGTGCTATTTGTTAAAGTTAGTTACTAGTCTTGAATCAAGGAATAATGATGTGCCCAAATAGCTAATTGTACAATTACTTACATACGTATGTTACTGCCAATGGAGTATAGGCCAGCGACCAGCATTCTCCAACCCGCTCTGTCATCGACCTTCCTTTCTAGTTCTATCCTATTTTTGTTCATTCTTCTCATGTCTGTCTCCAGTTCCCGACGTAATGTTTCTTTGGTCTTCCTCTCCTCCTTTGACCTTGAGGATTCCAAGTTAAGGCTTGTCTTGTGATGAATTTGGGTGCTTTCCTCAATGTGTGTCCTATTCACTTTCAGCGCCTCTTCCTGATTTCTTCCTCATCTGGGATCTTGTTTGTTCTCTCCCACAGTAGGTTGTTGTTAATAGTGTCTGGCCAACGGATCCGAAGTATTTTGCGTAGACAACTGTTAATAAACACTTGTGTCTTCTGGATGATGGCTTTTGTAGTTCTCCAAGTTTCCACCCCATACAGTAAAATTGTCTTGATATTTGTATTCAAAATTATGACCTTGATGTTAGTTGACAGTTGTTTTGAGTTCCAAATGATCTTCAGTTTTAAATATGCTGCTCTTGCTTTGCCTATCCACGCCTTCATCTCTGCATCAGATCCACCGTGTTCATCAATCATGCTGCCCAGATATATAAAGGTTTTTACATCTTCCAAAGCTTCTCCGTCAATTGTGATTGGATTGGTGCATGCTGTGTTGTATTGGAGAATCCTGCTTTTCCCTTTGTGTATATTAAGACCTACTACTACTGAGGCTGTTGCTACACTGGTCGTCTTGTCCTGCATATATTTTTGCGTGTGCGATAGTAGAAGCAGATCATCTGCGAAGTCTAGATCGTTCAACTTCATCCTAGTTGTCCACTGTATCCCATTTTTCCCCCCTCCAGATGTTGGTGTCTTCATAATCCAGTCGATCACTTAGAGAAAGAGAAAGGGTGAGAGTAAGCATAAGCTTGTATTCAGATTCACTTTATGTGAAAGGATTAACTAGCATTGACGTTTTATTGTTTTGTATATCGAGCATAAACATTAAACATATACCATACGTTTTTATTGTTCTGTGATTACTATATTCTTGAATGATATTCTAGGAACCATTGTTGACTTAACATAATCAAACGTTTATTTTTTAATTTTATTTTAGTTCTTCAATAGATCAAGTTATATTACGTTGTATGCAATCGAACATTTAAAAAAAATTGATTAATTAGTTTACAAGAATATTGAAACAAAATTACTTATCTGATAACTCATTAACGACTGTGCACTATGAAAGTAACCAGGGGAAATAAAGTAATGTAACATAATTGGGAGAGTAATCACTAGAATTATGAAATATACAATTATCTAGTTTATTTTCATTGATTCAAACAAAAAATCGATCATAATATCCAAAGGTAACAAATATATATTTTATCATCAAATAAACTGTTGATTTATGAATTTTGATTATCCTATAAAGGAACAGAGTTTTGTAAGTAAATTCTTCACATATCTTTCAGTTACATTTTAGATATTTCTGTATATTCTTGATAGTATCATGCATTATTGAATATTGAACTGATGTAACTAAAAGTTATAATTCTAATGGATTTTTTATTGAACGATCAACACTGAAATATTTCTATATGTTCTCATTTAGTTTTCTTCCATAACAATACGTTTCCTTTTCTTTCTTTCCACCTCTCTCTCTCTCGTGATTTTTCCTAATTGTCTGTTGTAAATTATAATCTTATCATTATATTATTACTATTTATTTTATAAACATTCCTTAATTGTTAAAATCATTTATTAATTATAAATAGAAATTAGTTGTTTCAGCTTGTCAGTAGTAGTAATTTATTTCTTTTCTTGTTATTGATTTTGTACAAGACTCTTTCCAAAGAATATTCTTGATATACTTCTTTATTGGACTTTCAATCTAATCTTTTTTTGTGGTTGTTGTTGTTGTTGGATAGTTTAAGTATAAAGGTGATATGATGCATTGAAATATATGAATTGTATCAAAGGGGGGTGGATATTATAGTAATTTCAATGGTTGATATCATAAGTCAATTGAAGCTAGACCACCATGGAAATCCAGGAAGTGATGGATGGCCGTTTCGTGTTATTGTGAATATTGCTTTGTTAAGAACTAGTTTTATCTAAGTATTGTTCAAGTAATGTTCTTACATAACTTCAAACTCTTTAGATTTGAACAGTTTCTTTCTTTCGTTCATTCCTTCCTTCCCTACTTACTTATTTACTTACTTACTCACTTACTTACTTGCCTACTTACTTATTACCGCCTGTTACCCCTCGTCAAGGATTATAAGCGCACCCACCAGGATTCTTCATTTTCTGATGTTCCGAATCCTCAACAAACGGCCGTCCAGTGCTTCCAGGTTTTTCATGGTGATCTAACTTCGATTGCCTCATGATCTCAACTATATGAATTGTGATTAAAATTACTCAACAGATCAATATCTTTTTAGTTAGTTTTCTTTTTTTTGAGTTGAAACAATTTCAATTTCTTTTTGTTAATTTTGTTCGAATTTGTAGATTTATGGAAATGTAACTGTATTTTTTTTTATCTTTTTAATCTGAGAAAGGTAACACAATATTGTGCATTTTATGCATAGTATACTGTACATGGTGTTTTGTTTCTGCCATCCTGTAATGAAACAGAGTTGTTAACAAGGTTTTTTTTTATCCACCATTTTATTTATCTTTTATTTGTTTGAAATTATTATTAATTGATATATTATTTAAAGAGATATCATGGTTTATTTGGTGAAACTAGCACATCTAATAGTTTACTTATTGTTTAGTATAGTAGTGGGTTATTGATCAATGTGGAATGTAAGGATTTAACGTAAATATTGTAAGTAAATACGGAAAATTTAATCACACGATGTGGTCACTGTTAAAAATCATAATCGCAACCGAATTTCCTATTTGACGGTAAATTCCAATCATGTAGAATAGGTAGTATTCTAAAATAATGCATACTTTTGTCGTGAGCCAGAAGACTGAAACATTATATTTCATATGAATTGAAATATCTTATCCTATTTTTAAGACCACAAAGCTCTTATTTACTTACACCTATTACCACTCATGGAGGATAGTAAGCCACTCACCAGCACTCTCATTACAGCCTTGTCCTGGAAAATCCTTTCCAGTTGCTTCCAGTTGCTATTCATCGTATTCGTGTCTGCTCCCGATTCTCAGCATAGTATGTTCTTTGTCCTTCCTCCTTCACCAATCCTCGCCTTGACGTCTGCATCAGATCCTCCACATTTGTCGATGATGCTACCCAAATGCGTGAAAGTTTCCACGTCTTCCAAAGTTTCTCTTTCAAATGTGATTGGGTCGGTGTTCTCTATGTTGTATTTGAGGATCTTGCTTTATCCCTTGTGTAAGTTGAAGCTTACTGATGTAGAAACATCTACTACACTGGTTGTTTTGACCTGAATTTGCTCGTGTGTATGGGATAGAAGGGACAGGTCATCTGAGAAGTCCAAATAGTCTACTTGTATGCAAGTTGTCCATTGTATTCCGTGCTTCCTCTCAAATGTTGAGGTCTTCACATTCCAGTCAACCATCACAAGAAAAAGAAAGGGGGAATCTGACTCCGGTCTTTACTCGGAATGCATCTGTCAGCTGTTCTCCATACACCATTTTTCACAAAACTCTTACTTTTTAGTTATTCAAAAACAATAAACATGTCATCGAAATAAAATATGTTTCATCAAACTTTATTAGAAGATATTATTGTGTTTATCAATATAGCTCAAAATTTTTGTGAACTACGCTAGTCTCTATTGCTAATAATATATTTCATAACTAACTAATACATTGTTAAAATCACTCTAGATTAATATGCTTGACAAAAGGATTGTAAATAAATACAAAGCTATAGGAACCAAATGAATTTTTAAATACTTAGTGTATTAAACCTTTGAAATAAGTACTTTCTCTTTTTGAAACATATATACGATAAATATCTTTTAAAACTAAAATGTTCTGAATGTTTTTTTGTTAAGAGCTGGTCTTATCTAGGTATTGTTCAAGAAATGTTCCTACATAACTTCGAATTTTTCGAATTTGAAAAGTTTCTTTCCTTCCTTCCTTACTTCCTTGTCTACTTACTCACTTACTTACTTACCTACCTACTTACTAACTTACATACGCCTGTTACCTCTCGTCAAGGAGTATAAACACACCCACCAAGATTCTTCATCTATTGATGATCCATATCCTCTGATTCAATAATGAAACTAATTCTAACACTATCACAATGATATATACAATGATTCCAGTATTGTATAAATCAAATTAAACAATAGAATTAGTTAATTAATTACACTTTTCAAAGATAGAATATTAAACTATTCACTAGTTAGAACATGATTAGTGGTTAGTTAACCTATAAAATATAAACAGAATATAGTTAATTATTTATTATTATTTTTTTGCAATAAATGAAGCGTAAATTATTCTACTCTCATGAAATTACTACATTTCACTATAAAGTACTAACTAACTTATTAACTTAATTTTTATCTACATCAATTTCTTTTTTTTTCTAAATTTTTATTCAAACAAACTAGACCTACATTGAAATGAAATACAATGAATATCATATTTATTAACTTAACTAAATATTCCGACAGGAAGTAAACGCATTTTTACCTTGTTTCACTATACTTATTTAAATAAAACATTGACATGAAATGAAGAAACCGAAATTATTTTTTTGTTTTTTTGTTTTTTTTATTTTTCACTTATTAACCTTCTTCACTTTTCAATAGGTAAGATGTTAAAGTTTAGTTATGTTAACCACTTGTAAATAATTCGCATATATATATATATATATATATATATATATATATATATATATATATATATATATATATATATATATATATATATATATAATTAACATAACAGTTAACAAACTACATCCCCTTTTGGTGCATAACATCATAACAAACTTTGTTTGTTCCCCCTTATTTTTTTTTCTTTTTAAAACATGAAATACATTACCAAATACTTTAAACTGTCAATAGTCGGTATTATAATTTCAGCGTGAAAACGATCAAATTATACTTATTAGTTGGGTATTACTATCTTGTGACTGATAATAAATGAACCAGTAGATAAAGTAGATAAAGAATAATAGAAAATACTAATATTTCTGTTACTAGAATAATGCACGACTGCGCAATATGTTTCTCTTTTCTTTTTTTTTCTTTGGTAACTGAAATATTAACCACTTGATTCACCGTTATATCTACCACATGCTTATAATTAAGTGTTATTCATCGGTTAGCAGTAAAATATCTGCATATCATGAGAGTAAATCACCGATAACTTATATTTGCTTTTTTGTTTGAATTTAGCAGCTAAAAATTGAAATATTAGAAGGATAATTTAAAAAAAAATAAACTGTGAAATTAGTTACCGTTTGCAATGTGTTTACCATCTGAAACAATTAACTGTATTGTTAAAGTTCGCATTTGCATTATTCAAATAATTTCTATCGAATATATGTATATATTCAGCTGGGTTTTGAAGGTTTTTTTTTAGATCCAGATAGACTGTAAGCTTTAAATAGAAATGGTTGATATCATGAGTCCCACAATAAGACGAAACGGCTGTCCAGTGCTTCCCGATTCTCCATAGTTATCTAGCTTCAATTGACTCATGATCTCAACCATTGAAATAATACTATTGTTAATGAATGAAATTAGTTAGTTGAAATAAATAAATAATAAGAAATAATTATAAAATAGATGACTAAAAGAAGTTAGTGCTTACAAAATAACAACGCATATCTTAGTCATTGAAAATAAAAAGCAAAGAGTTGGGCACTTGTTCTGAAACTATTCATCTCAATATAAATCTATAATTTCTTAATAAGTATAACTTTTAACACACATCCATTACATAAGAAGTAAATAAAAGTTATAAAGATTTAATGAAATGATTCTATATTAAGAATATAGTTTTGTTTAATGAATTACAATAGTTATTTATATTAAATGAACAAGTAGAAACAAATAATAATTTATGTTGAAGTATTTTATTCTTGTCAAAGATCTCCATATTCATATATTGATTATCTTTAATGTAATGAAAAACATTTATTCGTAAGAATTTTAAACATGATCCCGTCGGAATGGAACATTCCAATTTTAAGTTTAAGAGGGACGTTACTAGAATTTATTTCTTTCAACATTCTGATTATCGTATCCTCATATATAAAATGTTCTACATGTTATGGTGTTTTGTGATGTGTTCCCTATAATTCGGCTGTGGCTTTTTTTGTTGTCAAGATATAATACTAGGTGCAGAAGTGTTGAAAGTCAGATATTATTGAATAATTTTATTGTTTTACTGTAGTTTATCACAGCAGTGTAGACTACTAAATCTACACAAGATCCCTATTAGAATTTTGTAGCTTGAAGTGCCTGTAAACTAATAAATTGATATCTCACTATAAATAAAAACAACACGGTTGTTCATGTTGGTATATTATAGAATATTTTTTGCGACTGAACAACCTGTTAAAAGATTTATTTTATTCGATAGTAAGTGACTTATGACTAGTCATAGCATTATACATAGTGGATATATCTAAGTTATTGGTTTGTTGAAAATATTCCACTGATATTCTCAAAATGAATTAACTTTTACAAAACCACGCTGATAGTAGTACAACTAGAAGTGATTAGTTTGGAGTAAGGTTTTAAAGATTCTATTGAAAAGTTATGACTGATGGAGCCCAGTCATTCTGAGAAATCAGTTAGACATCACCTATGGGATTCCAAGCTAATTCAACTAGATCAACAATAAACTGAAGCTAGACCAGTGAATTATGACTAGGTGGTTCAGTAGTACTATGTTAAGTTTGATTATATATAAGTTCAGGGGTGTATACTATCAAGGAGATTTGAAGTAAGATTGAATACTTGTTTAGTGCCTCACTAGTTTTTAATGATTCTTCACCTAAAATCACTTCGTCTTAAATAACTACAAATATTCTCCATAAGATTCATATCTATAACACTTTAACTTGAATATGGTTGTTATCTTTTTTATATTATTCTATGCTTTAACTTGTAAATTACTTTGATATTTGTAGTGTAGGACAATAAATCGAATCTGTTCTATGTAAGGTCACCACCAGAGCTGATTTTATTCAATAGACCTATATATAATAAAAAAGGGAACTATTTACGTTTCTTATAATAAAAAATGGGTCATTTTCTTCCCTGGACTACAACAATTTAAATGATTGACACAAACACACATACTTTTGTTTTAACATGGTCATACAATGTATTCTAAACTTTCCCATCTTTAATGCATCACGATTCTTTTTTCCCCACTCCTTCTCTCATTAAACTTATACATACCGTATTTTCGGACATCATAATATGTGAAAAACAAAACTGTCACAATGGGTTGATCACTGGGTGACCAATGTCATGCGTGTCTAGTCCTTATTATCAGTGCAGATCGAATGCTATCGATCATGTTGCAATGTGGCCACCAGTCTAGATGACTGGACACTGCGGGCACTATTGTAAGATTAGATGGTGGTTGGAGGTAGTCGACAGGAAACCCTGGACCCGGGTTTCGTGCTACTTGGCACTCGTCAGCAAGGTGTACCTGTAATCTTTGAGGGAACTGGTGCTCCCTGGCGGATTCGATCCCAGTGATTAATCCATTGTGATTACATGTCAGTCCTACAGGAGGTCGGTCGCGGCCCGGATAGCTCAGTGGTAACGTCTCTGACTGTGAAGCTGGGTGACACGGGATCGAATCCGCCAGGGAGCACCAGTTTCCTCAAAGATTACAGGTACACCTTGCTGACGAGTGCCAAGTAGCACGAAACCCGGGTCCAGGGTTTCCTGTCGACTACCTCCAACCACCATCTAAAACAAAACTGTACAACAACAGCAACAAAATGTTAAAGTTTACTGAGAAATAGAAATTGCATTACAAGTAAATAAATTGACAAATGTGTTGTTTAAAATAGAGCCCATTTTAAATCAAACTGGATAAAATTGTTGATACACTGGAGGGTTTTTTCAGACTGTAAAAAACGTTTCGATGCTAAGTTTACTTTTTTTAAATTATAATTTTGGTACAATATTGAATTCTCAGAACAAAGTATTTCAACAAGTTTCCGTTTCTTACTTCTTCGTCGATACTAACGATAAATGTTGAGTGATCGTCAGTTAGATGTTAGCAGTCCAGTCAATCGACATGTAAATAATGTACATTCTTTTTGCTGCATATTACCAACAGCCACGATATATCTGATTGGGCCTCTTT